ACAAATATGGGGGGTCACATACACAAAGCAGGTGTCAGAATGGCATGGCACTTCTCCAGACTGCGACCCGAGGCTAGGATTCAGTGTAATCATAATGCCTTCAAACGCTGAGGCTTCCAATCGAGAATTATCTACCTTGAAAAATATCAGGCCGGGCGCGGTGGCTCACACCTGTAATCCCAGCACTTTGGGAGGTCGAGGCAGGTGGATCACGAGGTCAAGAGATCGAGACCATCCTGGTCAACATGGTGAAACCCCATCTCTACTAAAAATACAAAAAATTAGCTGGGTATGGTGGCGCGTGCCTGTAATCCCAGCTACTCAGGAGGCTGAGGCAGGAGAATTGCCTGAACCCAGGAGGCGGAGGTTGCGGTGAGCCGAGATCGCGCCATTGCACTCCAGCCTGGGTAACAAGAGTGAAACTCCGTCTCAGAAAAAGAAAAAAAAAAAAAAAAGAAAAATATCAATCCTGGATATAATAAAGGCATTTTCAGATATGCAAGGTTATAAAATTTCTAATTCCCACACAGTATTTCACAGGCTCTACAGAGGATGTGCTTAATCAAAAGGAAGAAATCGGCCAAGCAAAAGGAAGACCCAGACGTGCCAGGCAGGGGATCACCTAGAGGAGGGAAATGGTAAAGAAAACCCAGTCCAGCAGCTGTGCCAGGTCTAGGCAGTATAAAATCTAGACTGGAACAAGAGGATTGAGGGCTCAAAAAACAAAAAATGTCTCCAAGGGGAAAAAAAAAAAATCAAATGAACGGAACACCTAATATATCTGACATATGACAAGTTTTATGGTACTATTAGGTTATTTCAGGCATTAGTGATCGGTAAAATAAATAAGAAATAAAAAACAGTGATAGGTGGTTTATTTTTTAATAATCCTATTACTGGAGTAGGAGCAAAAAAATGAGCAAACAAAAAAGTGAAACAATTAAAAAATCAGAGTATATTACATGGCTCACCTGCAAGCATTTACACAGCCATAATTCAAATACAGAACAGAGATTAAACAAAACAATCATACAGTTACTATTGTGGGGATATGGGGGAGAGGATATGAGGGTTGGTATGTGTCTAGGGTTAGAATAGGGGAGGCAAATCCAAAATCCTGAGCCAAATCTTCATCTCCCATAATGGGAAGTCAGTAGATAATGTTCACAATCGAAAAGCCAACAGATAAGTCTAAATGAAAAGAGGGTGGCCAATGCTGAAAGGAAAGTGAAATCCAGTTGAAAGGGGCAAGGGGCATGGGTGGGAAATGTGGCAGGGTCATGTTTTGTCATTTTAAGCAACATCGTTTAAATTACTACATGTGTAAACTTTGCTAAAAATAAAATCTAACCTGAAAAGAAAACGTGGCTATTAAGTAAGGAATGGGAGACAGTCTAGACCACTCTTCACAAGATATTGGCTGTGGGAGGAAAAGAATCCCATGGTCCACAAGCACTTCCACCCCCAAACCCCAACACACACACACACACACACACACACAAAGAATTTCCTAATAGCTTTTTAGTGCCCATCCCTTAAATAAGAATGGGGAACCAGGGATCAAAGAGGCAAGAGGTGAAAGACTGCTGAAGAAACACAGGAAGAGAAGAAAACAAACAAAAACTTCTAATATACATCACCAGTAAGATAAAATCCTATATGCATGAATCAGGAAACAGATACTGTTTTAAAAGGAAATTAAAAGGGAAGGAAAGGAGTAAGAGAAGGCAGAGAATGAACGCCAGCCCAGAAAACAATTCAAGAGCTCTTAAATTTAAAAGAATAATAGGATCCCTCAAATGGAAAATCTAGTAAGAGATTTAGAAGATACAGCTGAGAATATCACCCGGAAATCAAAAAACAAAAGATGAAAATCTGTAAAGAAAAACTTAGAGGATAAAATGATAGTCTAATATCCAACTAAGGACTTAAAAAAAAAAATGGTAAAAAAAAATAGAAATGAAATCATTGCAGAAAACTTCCAGAAATTAAAAACGTGAGTTTGTCTATAAAGACCTGCCAAGTGCCCAGCAAAGCAAAGGAAAACAGATCTAGATCAAAGAAAAATGTCAGAACACAAAGGTCAAAGAGAAGACCCTGAAAGCTTCCTGAAGGGGAACACGTTTCCTACAAAAGATCCAGATCAAGAATCATAATGATGCAGGTCTGTAACATCAGCTATCATAACACATGGGAGGAGATGCCTCCAGAGTGTCTACAGACTAGAATTCCATGCCCAGCCACACTCACCAAATTGTAAGGGTAGAATAAAGCCATCTCCTGGCATTTGAGGAAAACTAACCTTTGAATCATCCTCTCTCAGGAAGCCACTAGAAGATGTGCTCCACCAAGAAGGGGTAAACCAAGAAAGATGACATGAGGGCCACACGACAGAGACTCAAACCCAAGAGAGAAGCCAAGAAAGGTCCTAGGAGGATGGCCAAGGGTCCTCCCAAGATGCCAACCAGCCAGCAGGCCACAACAGCAGCAGCCACGTCTGACAGAAGTAGGTCAGGAGCCCTGGGAGGGGTGTCTAAAGATGGCAGGAGTGATAGTGAACCTGATGTGTTGGTTATATTGTGAAAGAAAAAGGAGAATCATGGGAAACAGTATGGATCAGCTTTGAGCAACTTTTTCCCTGGGCACAATATTGTAGATACTCATTATGAATCCAACAAACTCTATGAGGACTGTATTGAGCAGGTGTGGAGCTGGCTCATGTGTGTATAGGTGAGGAAATCAGTAAAAAAGAACTCAAACCAATAGATAATGTTAAAAACTGAAAAAAAAAAAAAAAAAAAAACAATAGAATGTCAATAAAAGCCATGTTACTTGCAGATACAGAAATAAATACCAAAGGAAAATCCAGGGTGTTATGTACGGCAGGGGACCGATGTGCTTTTGTGACAAGTCAGATGGAACTACATGATTCTATGTGAATCCGTGGGTTCAAGGGAAGTAAGAACGTTTACGTCTTGTAGAAACTTAAAAGAGTGCTCCTTGCTCTAGTATTTCAAACCATTCACTCAAAAGCCAGGATATTTAATCTTGTGCAAACAACACAGGAGTCAAAGGGCCTCTTACAGGTGGGAGCAAAACAAACGATGCTGCTATCGTGAGTCCTGAAGGCAGAAACATCCTTTCTCCTTCCTGGTGCCTAAACCAGAAACGTTAGCAGGGAAGAAATAACTGGGAGGACGCCATCTCTAAGGAAACCAAGATAATCATGAACTCAGAGCTTACCTGAGCTGGTAAACACAGGCACCATCCATATCACAATGCTGTCTAAAAATTGTATTTCTATTGCATGCAAATATTTGACAGCTCCGTCACAAACAATAAAAGATGGGGGAGAGAAAAGCCCGTTTAGCCTGATAAAGTGCATCTCAATTTAGCTAGCAGATCAGAGCCCACAAGAATAATCTGGAAGTCATGTTCCCTACCCCCCTCCACCTTCTGTTATTTGCATTTCTAGCAGTGATCACTGAAGCATCAGGATTTGTGGGGATTCACAAGCAGCATGATGATGGGAGGAGGCAACCCTGCCTCCGATGATGAGCTGAAAATAGCTGAAGATGGTACAACCAAGAGCAAAGCGGCCTGGCTCAGAGCCGAAATTTCATCTCTTCCTCAGCCTCTCACAGAGAAGCCAGGAAGAGTCTGATTGGCTTGCAATCGGGTAAACAAAAATACATAAATAAATAAAGTCACTGATCCTGAGCTTCTGTTACTTCATCTATAAAATTGAGATTAAAACATGGTCTCTTTTCGGATTGTTTTGAACATTAAATGACAACATACATATTCCTACATGAGTCACTGAATGTCTAACAGGCTCTCAATGCATTTTCCTTATTTTCCTCACGCCAGCCTCTTTAAAATCCAGGGATCTGGTGGTGCCTGGCCAACGTTAGAGAAACAAGAAGGAACCATTGGTTACTCCAGGCTGTACTGAGGCTTCAGCTGGGTCCTCGGCACCAGCCTCACGTGCTCACAGTCCCCAGCCCTGCAACCCCCTGAGCAGGAAAGACGGTGAAGGGCCAAGGCTGGAAGCACCCGCGGCAGCAGGTGCACTGGCGCTTTCGGATCTAGAGGGGCGAGGGAGGATGGGGCGGGACGGAATGGAGAGAACCTAGCACTTACAAAGATGCTCCCACAGCCAAGTTATACAACACTCCACGTAAACAAACGCAAAATATTCTTTAAGGACAGCGCAGCGAGGTCGCGGAGTTAATGGAAAACAATGGCCCCATTCATCAGACGGAAAGCTTAGCTCTCTGGTTTTTAACCTTTTGGGTCACCTTTGAGAATCTGATGAAAGCTGGGGCTTCTCTGATCAAAAATGGGCGCTTAGAAATAAGCAGATGGGACTCAAGTGCTTAGCCAAGCCAGAGAGGTCCGCGAGTATAGACCCCGGACTCAGCCAGCTGCGCTTCAATCGAGTTCACCGCTGGCTGGACCGAAAGCCACCTAATTAAGGAAATACAAGATGGCAAAGGCTGCCCCTTCCTTATTTTGTCAAGAGAGACGGATTCTGCCTACGGTGGAGGGGTGGGGTGTGCGGGGAGGAAGAGCCTGCCGCGAGGGGAGCAAGAAATAGAGATCGGCGGCCGGGTGCGGTGCTCACGCCTGTAATCCCAGCACTTTAAGGAGGCTGAATCACCTGAGGTCCGGGGTTCACCACCAGCCTGACCAACACGGAGAGATCCGGAGTTCGAGATCAGCCTGACCAACATTTTTCTCTACTAAAAATACTAAAAGAACCAGGCGTGGTGGTGCAAGCCTGCAATCCCAGCTACTCGGGAGATTGAGGCAGGAGAATCGCTTGAACCCGGGAGGCGGAGGTTGCGGTGAGCCGAGATCGCGTCATTGCACTCCAGCCCGAGCGACAGAAGGAGACTCCGTGTCAAAAAAGAAAAAACACAGAGATTGGCTGCTAAGAGCTTCGAGCAAACCGTCCCTGCGGGCAGGCCCCTCGCGCTCCCCTCCGGGCCCAGTACCTGGCAGAGCTGCGTCCTCCGCGTCCTCGGCCTCCGCGCCCCCGGCCTCCGCGCCCTGCTCCTCCGGGGCCCCGCGCGCCCGCCGTTCCGCCTCCTCCTGGGCCGCGGGCTCCGCGGGCGGCGGGGGCGAGGGCGGAGCGCACCGGGGCGCAGGGGCCCCGGCGCCCGACGACTCCGACGACGCCGAGTCCTCCGAGGAGCCGGCCGGGCCCCAGTCGTCCCAGAGCCAGGGCGCGTGCGCCTGCTCCAGCAGCCGGCGGCCCAGGCGGTAGTGCAGCAGCTCGCGGTAGCACGGCCCGTACTCGTCCCAGCGCGGCTCCTGGTAGCGCTTCATGTACTCGCTCTTCACCCCGCTCCCCGGGGACATGATGCCGCCTGCCGCCTCAAGCGCCAGCCGCTGCGCGCTGCCCGCCGCCTACGGGACCCGGGACACGACACAGAGGCCGCCCCGCCCCTCCGCCGGCCCTGCCCGCCGCGACGTTTAAACCCGGAGCCCCGCCCGGACGGGCGCAGGGGGCGGGTCCCGGCGGGGGCGGGGCGGGGGCGGGGGCGGCCTGGACCGGCAGTGGAGGCGGGGCCCTAGCGGGACCCGCGCTGCTGGGGTCGGAGGGCGCGCGCTGAGCACTGCTGCTCCGAGGGGTGAAGGCGGGGAGGCTGCGGGCTGGTCCCGCCGAGGGGACCGCGGGATCCGGGGGCTGAGCGGGAGGAGGAACGAGGAAGGGGAGCGGCGGGGCCGCTGATCGGGTGGCCCCGGGGTCTCCGGAGGCGCCCCCTGAGCGAGGCGTGCGGACCCGCGGGACGGCCTTACCTCCTTCCCGCCGCGCCCGGCGGATCCTCTGCGCCGAAGCCCGGGGCGCGCGTGGCGCAGCAGCTAAAGCGCGGCTCGCTCTACCGCACGCTTTCCTCCTGAGCAAGATGTCGCCGCGGCGGCCCGCGCTCCAGCGGCAGGCAGGAGGCGGAGGCACCGCCTCAGTCCCGGAGCCTCCCCCCGCGCTCCAGGCTCCCGGCCCCCCGCCCGCTCCGTGAGGACGGCTGCTTCCGCGCAGAGCGCGGGGTGCGGGCGGGCCTCCCAGTCCGAGGGGCCCAGGCCCAGGTCCAGGTCCCTGGTCCACTTATTCGAGGTTCCCGCGCTCGCTAGTCTCTGCAGACGCTGCCCCAGGCACATGTCACTCCGCAGGAGACGTCAATTAGCGGCAAGAGATGCCTCCTCTCTCCGGAGATGCAGCCCCCCATCCCAGGCCGCGGCCGAGGTCCACATTCTCTGTCCCTATTCGAAGCCTTCCCGTTCCTCTCCTCTGTGTTCACAACACCTGTTACTCTGGCTTTAACTCCCTTTTATGTCTACGCCCCCCAAATTCTTAGATATTGATCAAAACCATTTCACTCTCTCAGAGACCCGTTTGCACATAAAACCTTGACAGATTCACTTAACGTTGTGCAGAAGTATACAACATTGCCCCATTTGTTACAGTTTCAAAGGTGGCCCCGCACTATTTTCCCTTTCTTAAAAAAAAAAAAAAAAAAAAAGTGCCTTGATACAGTAGCTGCAAAGAGATTTGAAAGGAAAACAACTTTTGGAAAATCAAAACATGTAGCAGTTAAAAAGCAGGCCCAGGCCATGAGCAGCGCTCATGGCTTCCGCATCGGCACTCCCACGACTTCACCTACTTTCTGCATGTCCACCTCCTGCCTCCCACCACGGACGCCCACTTCATCATAGCTAAATGATTCAGAGGTGCGTACTGACCCAAACGGGGCGGGTCAGACCGTCTGCTCTGAAAATTCGAAGTTACTATCATTAGCGCGGGATTCTGTTAATGGCAATTTTTTGGACGGCAACTCCAGGAGACCAAGGATACCATGCTGCTAATGAGTCCGCAGACGCCCTGATTTCTCCACTCCCCAACTTTATTTTCTGTTCCTTGACTAACATTAGGGACATTCAAATGCATTTTCCTTTAGTTTAAGTTGGCTGGGGTTGATTTCTGATGTTTGCAACCAAGGTAACCTTAATAAATATTGAATAAGGTGGCAAAATGGCTACATGTAGTTCCATGAGACATGGCAGGACACCATCCATCTCAGCTTTTGCTGCATAATTCATTCCAAAACTTAGTGGTTTAAAACAGCTAAGAGTTATTATTTTTCATGATTCTGAGGGTTACCTGGAAGTTCCTCCACAGTTGAATTCTGATGGAGAGACAGCAGGGCTAGAGGGTTCAAGATGACCTCCTGTTACAGTTGGGATCATTCTCTCCTCCCAATTTGATATTGAAGTTGATCTCCAATGGTGGAGGTGGGGCCTAGTGGGAACTGTGTGGGTCGTGGGGCAGATCCTTCATACAAATGAGTGAGTTCTCACTCTATTGGTTCGAATGAGAGCTGGTTGTTCAAAAAGAGCCTGGCATGTCCTCCCCTCTCTCCCTTGCTCCCTTTCTGTCTCCATGTGACGTGACAGCTCCTTCTCCTTCCACCATGATTGGAAGCTCCCTGAGGCCTCACCAGAAGCAGATGCTGGCACTATGCTTCCTGTATAGCCTGTAGAACCATAAGCTAAATAAATCTGTTTTCTTTATAAATTGCCCAGCCTCTGGTATTCCTTTAAACGAACTAGAACACCTCCCTCAAATACCTGGCAGTGGGGTGGGCTGTGGGCTGGGCTGTCTTGGTCACATCCAGAAGGCTGGACTGGCAACTCAAGGTTATATATGTCTCCTGCTGCATTCCATTGAAATAAATCACAAGGCTAAGAGTCAAGGGAGAGAAATAAACCTCCCTTCTCCATAAGGGAAACAGCAAATTCACATTGCAAAAGGGATTGAATACTGGATGAAGGAATTTGTGAGCATATTTTACAATCTCCAACACAACACAACACACACACACACACACACACACACACACACACACACACACACACTAATATAAGGGCACTTTGGGAGGCTGAGGTGGGCGGATCACCTGAAGTCAGGAGTTCAAGACCAGCTTGGCCAACAAGCGAAACCCCATCTCTACTAAAAGTACAAAAATTAGCCAGACATGGTGCATACTCCTGTAGTCCCAGCTACTCTAGAGGCTGACAGGAGAATCACTTGAACCTGGGAGGCGGAGGTTGCAGTGAGCCAAGATCATACCACTGCACTCTAGCCTGGGCAACAGAGCAAGACTCTGTCTCAAAAAAAAAAAAAAAAAGGAAAAAGAAAAAAAAAGAAGAAGAAGAATATATGGTATTACACCATTTTTTGTATAACTAAAAATAAGATTAGGAATGATTTGGGGGTTTTCTTTTTGTCTCTATTATTCATAATTAAAAGTATTACTTCATTCTAATATTTAAGCATGTTATCATGTCAGTATTTATCCACTTGAAAGTGACCAAAAAAATTCAAACTAGCTTAAACAGGAAGTATATTCGTGGGCTCAGGCAGAGGGAGAGCTAAGGGTTCAACCAATGTCACCGGGACTCTCTTCCTTCTCTTTGTCTTTGAGCTCTGCTTTCCTGCTGATGGCTGGCCTCTTCTCCCACTGGAAAAGGACTTTCTCCATATAGCTGGAGAAAGGATTGATATTCCAATTACAGACAAAGATTCTTCAATTATGTGCTTAGCTGTTGCCAGGGACAGGAGATGATCTGATTGGCCAAGGCCAGGTCACATCCTCATCTCTGTAGCTAGAGACATGGTGGTAGTTTGGGGTTGACAGCCTCATGAGAACCACAGGGGGACAGGGAAGAGCAGTGAGCAAATGAAGCAACATGTGTCCATTTATACATTTGCCTTTGTGTTAAAATAACAAGAACATGAGGAGTAAGACCAAACTGGGCAGCACTCATGGGGTGGGAAGGACTCCTCCCTGGGATATAATTGACTGTGTGTCACTAGCTCTTAAAAATCTAATATAGTCATAAGCAGAACCTATAAGATTGTACCTCTAGATCAGAGGAGGTAAGCCTCCCTCCAGAGAATCCCGGGTTCATACAGCACTGAAGGACGGCCGCAGTGGACGAGGGTGTCAATTCGCTCTGCAGGTGAGATGAGGACTAATGAGCAGAGATAAAAGAACTGTGGCAAATGTTACTGGCTTGGGACTGGTTTCTTAAGCAAGAGGGAACTTTTAGGAATGGCCTAAGGCAGCGGTCCCCAACCTTTTTGGCACCAAAGACCAGTTTCATGGAAGACAATTTTTCCATGGATGGGGGGTGATATAGGGGGTAGTTTTGGGATGAAACTGTTCCACCTCCGATCATCAAGCGTTAGGGAGATTCTCATAAGGAGCACACAACTTAGATCCCTCACATGCACAGCTGACAACAGGGTTCGTACTCCTATGAGAATCCACTGCTGCTGCTGATCTGACAGGAGGAGCGCAGGCAGTAATGCTCGCCTGCCACTCACCTCCTGCAATGGGGCCCAGAACAACAGGCCACAGACGGTACTAGGACCCCTGACCTAAGAGGCTCACAGAACACAAAATGAGGAGGCACCGAGGGGACTCCAGAAACCAGGCTACAGGATCCAGGCATAGTCAGGAGAGGGAGGATCTGTCCCCTCAATTTCAGCAGGTGAAGTCCTTGCTGGGACACAGTGCTGGGTGAAGAGGGGCATCTCCCACTGATGGAGATTGGGGAGCCAACAGAAAGGAAGATCTGGCTGGGGGCCTTGGCTCACGCCTGTAATCTCAGCACTTTGGGAGGCTGACGTGGGATGGATCACTTAAGGTCGGGAGTTCGAGACCAGCCTGGCCAACATGGTGAAACCCTGTCTCTACTAAAAATACCAAAATTATCTGGGCATGGTGGGAGGTGCCTGTAGTCCCAGCTACTTGGGAGGCTGAGGCAGAAGAACCGCTTGAACCTGGGAGGGGGAGGTTGCAGTGAGCCAAGATCGTGCCACTATGCTCCAGCCTGGGCGAGAAAGCAAGACTCCATCTTAAAAAAAAAAAAAAAAAAAGGAAAGGAAAGTCTGGAGCCGGATTCCTGAAAGATAACAGAAAAAGAATAGATATTTGCCACACAGGCATACAGATTCCATATGAGAAAAACCTGCTGGTGACCAAGTCTGGCCAGGAGCAGAACAGGCAAAACAGGCAGCCTCACAGGGACATGAAGGCTGTTCACCTCCGGGGGGTGTGGTGGAACTTCCCAGAGCCCTTCCACCCTAAGCCTCTGGCACTATCACTTCCTCAGCTTGCCTGCCTTCCTGTCTCAATAAACCCTTCCTTCTGAGCCAGGGGAGGCCATCCTCCAAGTGCTTCCTGGACTTCCCTCTACCTCGCTTCTGAGAAGAAGCTGATCTTTCCATCTGGCATGCTCTGTACCCACCCCTCCTGGCTCCTCGAACACAGTGCTCCCTCCACTGCCCTCTTCTTCCCATTTGTCTCTGGATAGTGCCACTCTCTTTCTCTCCCCTGCTCCCCACTGCTCCTTCCAAATACAGATACTCAGGAGACATCCCCTATCCACTCAATTCTTTTTGCGAATTCCCCTCCCAGTGTAGAAGCTAGAAAAGCCAGATATTTTCCCCAGCCTTCCTTGCAAATAGGG